TGAGAACATATTACCAGTAACTCACATACTACCAAACCTCAGAGTCAACTTGGCAGGTACTGACTTAACACCTCTGGTCCATGAAAATGAAAAAGAAAAAGAAAAAAGACAGGGTGAGAGAGAAAGCAGTCCACATACTGTAGGCTATAGCAGTGGCCTACTCCTTAGAACCTGCTCTGGCCCTACATTTGTTGACAAAGGCTTTCTTGAGCTTGGCCTCCTCGATTTGTTCCCAACCAGGTAGAGTAGCACATCTCAGGACATAAGCTGTAAGACAAGAGCATTAAAATCTGGCATGAGTAATTTGACAAAAAGACTTACCACAGCACACCATACACAACTGCACTTCAGGTTAAAAGGACATAATACCGTGAGATGTCCATTTCAGTTCAAAGAATTGCAAATCAGCAAGTTAGTTTTTTGGGCCAATCATAAACATAAATGTAAACAACATTCTGTTATCCTTAAAGGTGCTGTAAGTGATACTGGATAAAACTTCATTTCTGGTGTTAAACTTCTATTCTGATAGTAATCATTGCTAAACTGTCCTGATTGGATATAATCATTATCCCCACTATCCTGGCCTGAAAACACACAGAGCCTAATTTTGAAAAAACTTACTTAGGATTCCGTCAACTTTTTTACGGTCAAGGACCCGCTTTCCTTCCTTTCCTGAGGGGTTGTTGCCAGGGCGACCAAAGGGGACTGCATTTTGACACTCTTCAACAGTGAAGAAATGATCAAAAAGTGCATGAAACAGACGCATGCAATTTGGTTTTGATGCTTGATTCATGGCAGCAAGGCGGAACGATGAGATGAACACGCCGCTCCCAGAAAAGAGCTCCTGCTGGCCCGATGGTGAAGATGGGCTGTCACGATGTCTCTCTGGAATGAGGTCGCAAAGAGTCTGAAGCTCTCTGACCTGGCCTGGATCTGAAAGGGAGAAATAGTACAAACAATACAAGAGTGAGAAAATACCAAGCTACTCTTTATAAATGATAGTGCTGCACGATTAATCTAATCGCAATCGCGATGTCAGGCTGTGTGATTACATATCCGCAGAAAAGGCTGCGATTTGCGATTTAATGTAGGCTAAATAAATGTTAACGTGTGTGCCTGTGAACGTGGCTGCCTCTCCTGTAGTGTGTGGAGTTTGTTGACATCACGCCCACAAGCTATCCTGGTGCGTGCAGCCGGCGTGCAGCAGTGACCAACACAGACGCTGAAGAAGAGCATGAGCTCGACCATGAACAGGCTGAGTCGGTGGCGACAAAAACATCTGTTACATGGCGATACTTTGGATTCAGGTACGGCGACGTTGAACAGAAAGACGTGCTGTTGTGTAAAAGTTAAAGTCGCCACGTCCCGCGGCAACACGACCAATCTATATCAGCACTTGAGACGGGACGTGGCGACTTTAACTTTTACACAGCACGACTTTCTGTCCAACGTCGCCGTACCCGAAAGACGTGCTGTATAAAAGTTTAAAAGTTAAAGTCGCCACATCCCGCGGCAACACGACCAATCTATATCAGCACTTGAGACAGCACAGCACAGGGAAAGTAGGAAGAGTGCATGCAAGTGAAAGCCGAGCCGTGTAATGTTTAAGACAATGAGACAACTGAAAGCCGCCAGAGCCTCATAAAACAACATCCAAGCACAGTTAAGCAAACATTTGTAAGTGTCACAGGGAAATCATGGACTCCATAACAAATGAAAAATTGAGCAATTTTGCTCGGGTTCGGCCCACTTGACACGCTGCTGTGTTGTGCTATGGCGCTGGAATCTGTCATTTACGTGACAACGCCTGAACGCAACATATGCTCGCTCCACTGTGTGTACAGTTCCGTGCTGCGCTGCTGTGTGAACAGCGTGTTTGACTGTGCTCAGTCTGTTGATGGTCATTGACACACTGTCCGTCCATAACAATAACTATGTCAGATCAGTGCCCCCCTAATATAATGTAGGGGAAACACTGAATCAAGCAAAAAGACTCATGATACCATTTATTTATTACATTTTATTGTAATTATATTGTAATCGCGATCGCAAATCGCAATATTGTCCACCATAATCACTGCACTAAGCTGGTTTAAATCTTATTTATCTGATCATTTTCAGTTTGTTGACGTTCATAATGAATCATCCTTACGTACCAAAGTTTGTTTTGGAGTTCTGCAAGGTTCTGTGCTCGGACCAATCCTATTTATTCTATATATGCTTCCTTTAGGTAACATCATTAGAAATCACTCTATAAATTTCCATTGTTATGCAGATGATACACAGTTGTATTTATCGATGAAGCCAGAAGAAAGTAATCAATTAACTAAACTCCATAACTGCCTTAAAGACATAGAAACCTGGATGAGAACCAATTTCCTGATGTTAAATTCAGACAAAACTGAAGTTATTGTTCTTGGCCCAAAACAACTCAGAGACTCTTTATCTGATGACATAGTTTCTCTAGATGGCATTGCTCTGGCCCCTACCACTACCGTAAGAAACCTCGGAGTAACATTTGATCAAGATTTGTCTTTTAATTCTCATTTAAAACAAACCTCACGGACTGCATTTTTTCATCTGCGTAATATTGCGAAAATTAGGCCTATCCTGACCTGAAAAGATGCAGAAAAATTGGTCCACGCTTTTGTTACCTCAAGGCTGGATTACTGTAACTCTATTATCAGGTAGCTCTAGTAAGTCCTTAAAAACTCTCCAGCTAATTCAGAATGCAGCAGCACGTGTACTAACAGGAACTAAGAAACGTGATCATATTTCTCCTGTTTTAGCTTCACTGCACTGGCTCCCTGTAAAATCCAGAATTGAATTTAAAGGTTACTCGTGGTCCCTAAAGTCTCCAAAAGTAGATCAGGAGCCAGAGCCTTCAGCTATCAGGCTCCTCTCCTGTGGAATCATCTTCCTGTTACGGCCCGGGAGGCAGACACCGTCTCCACATTTAAGACTAGACTTAAGACTTTCCTCTTTGATAAAGCTTATAGTTAGGGCCGGCTCAGGCTTGCCCTGTACCAGCCCCTAGTTAGGCTGACTTAGGCCTAGTCTGCCGGAGGACCCCCCTACAATACACCGGGCACCTTCTCTCCCTCTCTCTCTCTCTCTCTCTCTCTCTCTCTCTCTCTCTCTCTCTCTCTCCTTCTCTCTCTCTCGTATTCTATTACTGCATCTTGCTAACTCGGCCATTCTGGATGTCACTAACTCGGCTTCTTCTCCGGAGCCTTTGTGCTCCACTGTCTCTCAGATTAACTCATATCACAGTGGTGCCTGGATAGTGTGACGTGTGTGGTTGTGCTGCTGCTGTGGTCCTGCCAGATGCCTCCTGCTGCTGCTGCTGCCATCATTAGTCATTAGTCATACTTCTACTGTTATTATACACATATGATTATTGTCACACATGTATACTGCCAGATATTAATATATATACTATCAACATATTGTACCACAGTAGCCAGAACTATAACTATAATATTATTACTTTCATTAATGTTGTTGTAAGCTACTGTCATTACCGTCTGTCTCTCTGTCTCATTGTGTCATATGGATTACTGTTAATTTATCATGCTGATCTGTTCTGTACGACATCTATTGCACGTCTGTCCGTCCTGGAAGAGGGATCCCTCCTCAGTTGCTCTTCCTGAGGTTTCTACCATTTTTTCCCCTGTTAAAGGGTTTTTTTGGGGGAGTTTTTCCTTATCCGCTGTGAGGGTCCAAAGGACAGAGGGATGTTGTATGCTGTAAAGCCCTGTGAGGCAAATTGTGATTTGTGATATTGGGCTTTATAAATAAAAATCGCACATTTTTACTAAATCGTGCAGCACTAATAAATGGTTAAACAGCTTTAATGGCAGGCAAGTTCATTTTTGAACATATTACAAACATGCCTACACGACCTTGTGTAGGCCTTCTTCAGGGCATACAGTATCTCACATAAGTGAATACACCCCTCCCATTTTTGCAAATATTTCATTATATCTTTTCATGGGACAACACTATAGAAATGACACTTTGATATAACTTAAAGTAGTCAGTGTACAGCTTGTATAGTAGTATAGATTTACCTTCCTCTGAAAATTACTCAAAACACAGCCATCAACATCTAAAAGGCCAAAACACACCGGCGGCGTCATATGACGGTGGCGTCATTGACGCGAGTCAAGTGCCGCCCCCAACACACACAAAAAGCGTTGCGCTGCGGGGCGTCAACCGGATTTCTATTGCACACTCCAGTCCGCTAGGCTGGGAAGTACAAAATAGCGCTTTTTCAAGGGCGGCGACGCTGATAAAATAGGACAATAGCATGAAGTGCCGCGGCGCGGAGCGTCGACGCGCGTCGAGACACCGCGGGTGTGGGTTTGTAAATAGAAAATAATGGGGGCGTCTGTTTTGACGTGCATCATACGCCGCCGGTGTGTTTTGGCCTTATACAGCTGGCAACATAAGTGAGTACACCACACAGTGAACATGTCCAAATTGTGCCTAAAGTGTCAATATTTTGTGTGCCAACCATTATTATCTAGCACTGCAATGAATTGTTGTGCTGTTAAATTATGTTCATACTATAATTTAACATGTTATGTGTTATTTCTAATTTGCTAACGATATCAAGGATTGTGTGCAATAAATAAGCTTAGTTCATAAACCTTTGTTCGACTAGATTATTTTTAACACCACGGCAAGCCACAATGCCACACGCCACCCCTCACTGCCCTGCCCACCACCACAAGTAAATTCTCAACCTAGGGGAAACACTGCATTAATGCTTTTATAACAGTTTTTCTCATTTGACTTTTAAGCCCCCACCCCCCTCCCCTTTTTAATAACCAAGGCGCAACTTCCCATACTGTTTTTATCTTATACCGTTTGTTTAACGCCACAGCCCTCTTTTCTGCCTTCTAGGATAGTTCAAACAGTATATTTATGTGTTCAAGGCCCAATCACTAATATAGGTAAACAAAACAATCACATCATGAATGAATTAGCAGAAATTACTTGCCTATTCTCGAGATGCCTTCATCAATCCTTCTCTTTTCACGTAGCATTCTTTCGACCTCCCCCTTACATCCATCACATGGTGTCCATGCATTTTCTGGCTGCTGTCCATATGGGATGTTGCCCTCGTCAGATGAGCTGCTGTATCTGTCCGGTGCCAGGCGAGCTGCTTTTCCGCTGCCAGGTGGATTGACCCCACTAGCTGGCGGGCCAGCTGCATGGCCTCCGCCGGGTGAAGGACCAGAGGTGTTGAGGCCATATGGTGATGGGCCAGCTGCATGGCCTACATCAGGTGATGGACCAGAGGTGCTGAGGTCATACAGTGATGGGCTGGGTGTATGGCCTCCATAGAGTGATGAACCAGGGGTGTCGAGGCCATACGGTGGTGGGCTGGGTGTATGGCCTCCGTAGGGAAATGGACCAGAGGTGCTGAGGCCAATACGGTGGTGGGCTGGGTGTATGGCCTCCGTAGGGAGATGGACCAGAGGTGCTGAGGCCATACGGTGATGGGCTGGGTGTATGGCCTCCGTAGGGAGATGGACCAGAGGTGCTGAGGCCATACGGTGATGGGCTGGGTGCATGGCCTCCGTAGGGAGATGGACCAGAGGTGTTGAAGCCATATGGAGATGGGCTGGCTGTATGGCCTCTGTAGAGTGATGGACCAGAGGTGTTGAGGCCATATGGTGATGGGATGGCTGTATTGCCTCCGTAGGGTGATGGACCAATGGTGCCTCCTTTGGTAGAGCTATCATAAAATTACATTGAACCATAAATTACATTTCTGTAAACACAAATTGCCCAGAATAGATATGACAGATAACTACAAAGAACTGACTGAAGTGACCGGCATAGACATGAATGAAGGGTAGAAGTTTTGAACTTGTGGGCCCAGGCGATTATGTAATAATTATGACAAGCCTACCCATAGGGTGGTGGGCCAACGGTGTTGCGGCCTCTTGCATGTCCCCCGTCAGGTGATGGATTCAGCGCTGGGATTTTCTCGCCATGATCAGACAGTGGGCTACTATCTATTATAAGGGTGTCAGACCCTGACGTTGAGTCTGATGGCTCATCGCCTTTTAACATATTTAAAAAGGACTCCTGTGGAATTGGGTGGCCTTTTGGCGGCTTAGCCTGATCTTCCCCTGAAATATATTCAACAGTGGCCCTATAAAATTTACCATCTGACCACTTTGCTAAAACAGGATCTCCTGATCGAAGATCTTGCAGCTGCACAGGAGCCTCATCTCTTGCCAAAATGTCAGATCCTGTAAAGATTTTGCCGGTATAACCATCCTCCCATCTGACAAATGCAAAACACCCTGAGAGAGAGAGAGAGAGAGAGAAAATGTTTAACAATTTCTATCTGGGCACAACAATTTAGACTGGTATTTTTAGACCCTATTTAGACCATAATGTTATGATTATTAAACCCCCCCCCTTCTCTATTTGCAACATAAAGCATACATAACAGAAACTATACCAGTTCACAGTATTACCTCAATACTTACCAGATTGCTCATTTGGGGGAGGGGAGCTCTGCAGGTCCTTTATTTTCTGGGTGGGAACCCGAACCCTCCTTTTCGCCGGTATTTTCTTTTTGTCCATCCTGTTAATGAAAAAATACATTTTGGATCATCAAGTATAATATAAATACACACTATTTTAACCTAATTCAATTCATATCTTTGGGGACAAGAGTTGGATCAAAATGAGCAAAAATCAAATCAAATTATTTTCCTAATTGAATGTTAGTTTCATAACCTGTAAAACCACCAAGATTAAAATAATTTTAAGACCGTGAACCCTAGCGTCCCAGAAAAGAGCAGATCATTCCAATAATTTCCACTGGCAGTCAGGGGGATTGCCAATGGAAATTAGCCTTTTGGCTACAATTGGGTGCATTTACATTTTATTTTTAAAATGTTCATTAATGTACGTTGTCCCTCTACAACAAATAAAGACAAATGAAATGAAATGCAAGCTGACAACATGCCGACTTGTAACACAATGTGTTGTGAACTTGGAGATCTGCAATTTCATTATTTATATTTTCAAGTCAAGTTTAAATTGAATCAAATCGTTGCTAACGTTACTTGTTGGACAGACGCCATTAACGTTAGCTTAACGTTACCTCGTTCCACCTTCCAACGGACCACTCCTAGCTTACCTAATTCCACCTTCCAACGGACCACTCCTATCTTACCTAATTCCACCTTCCAACGGACCACTCCGTCGTCACAACAGTTAAATATTTCACCTTTAGTCAAAATAATTTCTTATTCAACTCTTCACAACGTTACGTAGTTGACCAACTAATATATATTACGATTCTTACCTCTCCAAGTCTCGGCGTAGCCGGGCAAAACTTGCAGCAGCAGCAGCGGCGGCGGCCAACGGTCACGTCCGTCACTTATCTTCCCGCAGCTGCAACATTCAAGATGCCGGTTGGTCCAGTAAAATTCTGTCGTCTTTGAACGTGATGACATCATTGTGCGTGGCTCGAGATTTGTCCAATGATATTCTGTCTTTCTGGAAAACACGAGTAGCATTGCACGCATGCTTATTTTGGGGGCGGAACTGACATGTTTACGTTTGGAAGAAGCAGCACAGCGTCTCTGTAAAGAATAACGACAAAAGGTAAGTAATAGGGTAAATTGTTTTTGTTTTGCGAATTAACGGACTCTGTTAACACACATGAGGTAGGATTCTTTCAACTACAGTAACGTCACCACGTTACGAAACAGAGATATAAATGCCGCATTCAACGGCACGACCGCCATCTGCCTAGCTATGATACCTAGCTACACCTAGCTAATACATGTAACGTTATGTCTACTGAGGCAGAACGTCTAGTCTTCATTAAAATAATTACAACTCGCTATATCTATGGTTACGAATCTCATAGACTTCAGACTCTTAAGGAAGGTCAAAACATACGGGAAATACACGTGCGTCTCAAAGAATAATTGTGAAATTGTTTGGCAAAAACACACATCTTTGTAACCACATTGAAACTCTGGTATTCATTCAGTGGTGATAAATTGAATTTAAGCACCTAAGCCTAGCTGTATTTGTTCTTGATAATTTATATTTCATTCTGCGACATAGTTAATTATTAGATTCATTATGTAGATTATACATCATGATATTTTTATGAGTTAGTAATACAAATGAGTTTACATTACATTTACATTAAAGTGATCAAATTGATAATTAATGATCAATACTTTTGCGACTTTAAGAATATGATGCTAATAATTATTTTGTAGCTTGACGTAAGATTTTGAAATTGTGATACTTAACAGTGCAGTAGCCTAGTATTAATACAACAGCTCTATATTATTTCTGACACCAGTCATTGCTATAATTGTTAAATGACCATGGTCTCCTGTTTCCCCCTGCTCTTTAGAAAACAGAAAATGCATTTTCAGGTCGGGATATCAATTTTATCCAATTAGGAGAGAGAATTCACGCAGGATAAAGAATAAAAAAGTGAAATTGGAAGTGATAAGATAAGAGAAACTTTATCTATCCCAGAGGGAAATCAAAATGGTACAAAGAAATGAACAGACAAAATTGGAAGTGGAACAATATAAAACTGATGCTTGCTTGAAAATGTATTTCTGTTTACTAAAGAGCTGATTAGATGGGGAAATCTGAACAAACACTTGATGATTCATCATAGAGTTTTACTTTTACAAAAAGTTCCACTGTATATTCCAGCAACTTGTGTCTTTATTTATGTAGTATTGGAGTGTCAAAATGACCAGACGAAAACCTGGAAAACGATGGAGAAGGACTGGTAATGAAGAAGACCCAAATAAACGACCAAGAAGGACTGCACAATTGGTGAGTAGCCTGGCATAGCCGTGTTGCAGCAAACTTGCAGCAGATATGATATTTAATACCTTATTTTCCTCCCTGCAGTCATCTCTCCCTGCAGCCACCAATGTTCATGTGGAGACTGATCAGCAATATTTAGGTAAGTTATGAAATATGTGTGTGTGTGTGTGTGTGTGTGTGTGTGTGTGTGTGTGCTTTATGTTCAGAAGACAACTCCTCTGCTGTCTGACCTGTTTCAGCCACACCCAGTCCCAAGTGCAGAGAGAGATATCCTGAACACAATTAGTTATGATTGAGAATCACAGGCCCTGTAGATAGATAGATTGATAGATTGATTGATAGAATGCAGTCCACAGTTGGTCAAACCAAACATGGCAATATTGCTTTCTCTTATCCTGATGACAGTAGCACGTGTGAAAAATGAAACGTGAAATGTGAGTTATCTCAGCATGTATAATTAATATTCTTTGAACCTTTCACCTTTAAGTTAAAGCTGTTAATAACAAGGCCATGATCCTTTCATATAGGTCACCGTGTGGCTGCAGCCTCATGTTTAGTTCGCTGCTGTGGCATTCTACTCATTATTGGCATTGTCTGTCACTGTCAGCCTGTATCATATATGTCCTTCCAAACCCTGTCCAGCTACTCATTCACCTGAGGTCCCACAACTTCTCATTGTTATGTGTGTGTTGTGTTGTGATGAGTTACATTCAACACTGTGGATTACTGTTATCACAAACACAGAAAGAGATGTAAACATAAACTGCTACAATGTGATCAAGATGTGGGGAAAAAAGAATATGCCTCCCATTAGCTGTATTTGTATAATGTGTTCCATTTATGTCAACTTGCCTCTTGTGTTTTACATGTTTTCTCTTTTTCCTTTTTCATCTATCTATCTATCTATCTATCTATCTATCTTGCAAGAAAGTTTCTCACAAGAAATCTGTTCTTTGCTAATTGATGAAAAATGTAATTTAAGTAAAATGCGACTCTTTCAATATTTTCAAGAGGGTCCTGATCCAGAAAAAGGTGTGAACCATTGTGTGTCCTCTTCTCTGTGTCAGGAGGTAGCAGCAGGGGAACACAGCAGAGGGGGGTGCCTCCTGGAGGAGCCCAAAATGCTGCACTTCAAGGGGAACACGTCCAACTTCCGGGTGTCCATGCGGGATGTACCACACTCACTCTGGAACATCAAGCCACTCACCACCTGCCAGGTACACACACCCTCTGCCTGCCTGCCTGCCTGCCTGCCCGCCCAATGATGTGCAGTATATGTTGTCACTGAGCAGATCCTGCTAAAATATGACAACATCATTTGAGTGTAAGAAAGTTATATACAGCCTGAGACGATATAGGTTTTGCATTGTGACAAGATGTTGTTTTTTACCCTTAATGATTTTTATTCTATTTTATTACCAGCACAAGGAAGCGTGGCACAAGACAGTATTTCAACTGTTGACTCTATCGAAGACAATGAAGAACCATCATCTAGATCAGCCTTCAGAGATCCTCCTGATGGCCTAACAACTGAACTACATGGCAATGCTGAGTATGATCCATCTCAATCATTTGAGGAAGCTTTCCCTGATGTGGGGGATTGGACGTATGATGATGGATATATGTTCAGTGAGGGATTTGAAGAGGGTTTGAGTGAGGACTGTGTAGAAGAGTCAAATTTCAAGGACACAGCAGACAAACCATTATATGACAATGCATCAATAACTGTGGCAGAGTGCCTTTTGATCATCATGGCTTACGTAAACTGTCATAAAGTAACTGATAAGGCCCTTAGTGATTTGCTTAAAATGTTCAAGTTGCTTTGTCCCGATAGTCTGAATACAGACTGCTTAAACAGTGTACAGAAGTTCAAAGACTTTTTTTTCTCCCACTCTGCATCATCCCCTATTGTATTGCATACATATTGCAGTAATTGTTTTGGGTCATTAGAAGGTGAACAATTAGAATGTCTGTCTTGTGGGACCAGTGTGTCAGAAGAAAGATCCTCATCCTTCATAGAGGTTCCAATTGAGGCTCAAATAAGGTCATTATTTCTCAAGCCAGGTTTTCAGGAGAAGCTTAACTTTAGATTAAGCAGGAAGAAGAAAGATCCTAACAACATTGAAGATATATATGATGCAGAAGTTTACAAACAGCTTGTAGATGGAGGTGGTCCTCTGAGTGACCCTAAAAACATCTCACTTACTTGGAACACGGATGGGGTACCTATTTTCAAATCGTCCAAGTTTTCAGTGTGGCCTTTTTATTGTATCATCAATGAATTGAGTTTCATGGAACGCACAAAAAGAGAGAATATGATATTTGCTGGACTTTGGTATGGGGATTCAAAACCATCCATGGTTACATTTCTTAGACCACTAAGTGACACACTGAGTAAACTTGCAGACAATGGAATTCTTGTGCAACCTGCAGAGTTGACATCTGAACCTTTTGTGTGTAAAGTGCTCACCATTGCTGGAACATGCGACTTGCCTGCTAAAGCATTAGTCCTTAATTCAGTGCAATACAATGAGAAATTTGGATGTCATAAATGTGAGCAGCCAGGAGAGACTGTGAAGACAGGGGAGAGGGGACATGTCCATGCATTTCCATACCAACATAGAGATCCAAAAGGGCCACTGCGCACAAATGAAAAGTTTGTTCTTGATATGAAAATCGCAAATGAGACCAAAACCACTGTTAAAGGGGTGAAGGGTCCCTGTTGGCTTAGCAAACTTAAAAGTTATAACCTTATCAAAGGCACTGCCATAGATTACATGCACTCAGTCCTTCTTGGAGTAATGCGCCTTCTGATGGTTCTGTGGTTTTCTACAGAGTTTTCTCGTCAGCCTTTCAGCATGGCAAAAAATGCCAAAGAAATTGACAGGCGATTTCAGGATATCTCTCCTCCATCCTCAACTCGATATCCTCGATCAGTGGCATCTCACAGAATGTTTTTTTAAAGCATCAGAATATCGGGATCTTTTGATCTTCTATGGACCTGTTGTTTTCCGTGGAATTCTTGCAACACTGTACTACAATCACTTCCTTCTACTAAGTGAAGCCATTTTCATTTTGTTGATGGAATCCATATCAGTTGAACAGATTGATCATGCAGAGAAACTACTGTGGAACTTTTGTTCTCAAATGGCTAATCTCTATGGTGAACGGTACGAAACTGCAAATGTACACCTTCTCGTGCACCTAGCAGACAGTGTCAGGGCCCTTGGTCCATTGTGAACTCATTCATGTTTCCATTTTGAAGACAAGAATGGCTATTTGTTAAGGCTCATACATGGCACTCAAAATATACCTATGCAGATGGTCCATGCAGTCAAACTTGTGCAGTATATTCCTCTTATTTCACAAACCATAAAGCCAGTGAATGCCATAGCTGAATTTTACACACGGATGACTAAAGATGATAGTTTCTGTCAGGAAAATGATTTGTCTAGGACTAAACTATATGGAGCATCTAGTGAACTTCAGCTGGACAGAGTTCACCTCTCTACATTGGAAAGACATGCTGGTCACTGCATCAATTCTAAAACAGTAAGCATCTTTCACAGAGCACAAGTTAAGAGAAATTATCTCACATCAAAACACTATGGGAAAGGCAATAGAAGAAACAATTTTACAGTTGTTTTTTCTAGTGAAGGACAAACAAAGTATGGACAGATTGAGTTCTTCTTTACATCAGAACAATCATGTGCCAAATGGGCCCTTGTTCATGAATTCAAAGGTGCAGGTTTTTCTTTGCTGCAAGATAGTGTAACAAATGGTACATGCAATCATGTTGTTCCCCTATTGGAAACCTCTGCCAATACAGTAGTTTCCTTGGATCATATATTGGGTAAAGTTATTTTCCTTGACTTGACATCTATGCCTGGCATTGTGTTTGCAGCTCATTTCCCAAACACACTTGAAAAGTTTTAACCCTTTAACCCTCTTGTTGTCCTGAGGTCAAGAAAGGAAGGAAAGTAGGGATGAAGGAAGGGAGGAAGGAAGCAAGGAAGGAAAGAAGGGAGGGAGGAAGGAAGGAAGGAAAGGAAGGGAGGGAGAAAAGAAGGAAGGAAGGAAGGAAGGAGGAAAGAAGGGAGGAAGAAGGAATGAAAGGAGGGAGGGAGGAAAGGGAGGAAGAAGGAAGAAGGAAGGAAGAGAGGAAGGAAGGAGGGAGGGAGGAAAGAAGGAAGGAATGAAAGAAGGAAGGAAGGAGGGAGGGAGGAAAGAAGGAAGGAGGAAAGCAGGGAGGAAGAAGAAAGGAAGGAAAGAAGGATGGAGGAAGGAAAAGAGGAAGGAAAGGAGTAGGGAAGGAAGGGAGTAAAGGAAGGAGGGAGGGAGAAAGGAAAACTGGAAGGAAGGAAAGGAGGGAGGGAGGAAAGAAAGGAAGAAGGAGGAAAGGAGGGAGGGAGGAAAGAAAGAAGGGAGGAAGGAAGGGAATAAAGGAAGGAGGGAGGGAGAAAGGAAAAGTGGAAGGAAGGAGGAAGGAAGGGAGTCTTAAGTCTCAAAAAGGTGTCTTTTGAGCACATCATGGCTCTTTGTGTTAATGGGTTAAATTTTGGAACTCAAATTTGTAATTAATGAGTTATATGACTTGTGTAAGAAATCAAATTTTGTAAGTTGAACATTATGTAAATAAACCATATATCTCATAAATTATTTGCCTGAATTGATTACTTATTTTCTCAAGTTTTGGCATGAGATAAACTGAGATATGATTGAGGTATAATATTAAATCATGTATCACATTGAGACTCATTTGAGAGCTTGCACTACTCTCATTTTTCTTTATGCTGAGACGCTAGAAAAGAGACAACTGTAAGAGAATCTGAGAACTCAAATAGTGAGCAGTGAGAGACAGAATCATGTATATTTCTCACTGAGACATACTTGAGATAGTGCGTCCAAGTAAGGATATCAAAATGAGACATATTTGAAAGTGGCGCAATATGTCTCATTTTTCTCTTAGCTGAGATCAGGAAAAGAGACAGCTGTGAGAGAATTTAGAGAACCCGCACAGTGCTCACTGTGAGACTTATTTCTCAGGAGAGACATTTGAGAAGAATGAGAAAACCACTTTGGTCTCGATTAGTGCTCATTTATATCTAGGAGATGTAAATGTGATATAAAGGAGATCTCATCTTCAATTTTGCTTTGCTATGAGATGATAATAAGCTGACAAGCTAGATGGTGACCGCTAATTAGTGCTAACATATAAACATCCTAAATAAAATAATAACATTACTAGAATTGCCGAATTTCACTTACCGAAAAACCTGGAGCACAGACTTCTTGGACGGTCTGTTGGTATAATTAATCGAACAGCAAGCCATATTACTCCAATATTTGCCTGAAAAAATATCCGAAAGGCACAAACACGGCTGAGAGGACAGGTTCAATGCCTTGAACATCGGCACAAATTGGCTGAGATGACGCTAGGGTGGCCATTTCCACAACACCAAAAAGGAGGACACTTTGCAGCATTTAGTGAGGAAAGAAAAATCGCAACATACAACTCTAGTGTACTCCCCACGACAATACAATTTTGTACATGATAACGATGGTATCATGATACAGTGATTCTGAGATACTCTGTTCATCATAAGACAATTTATCTATGATATATCATGATGTATGTGTAACAGAAGAGGAAAAAATATTCCTGAGAAGGCGAAAAGTATTTGTTCACAGTATTTGTATTTATTCAATACATCTGTCTTGCAAAGTGCAGTGCCACAAAGCAGAACATTTACAGTATGGCCTTAAATGTGCAAATTAAATTTACATAAAAATAAATAAATAAATGCAAAAAATATACATTCCAGTTCTTAATAAGCATATAGAACTTTTTTTTATGTAAACAACAAAAGACAGTAAGAAGAAAAAACACCATGTAACGGGTAAATATTGAACTGAAAAGTCCACAGTGTATTCCAAAGTGATTCAGTCCTTTGGGGACATGTCTGCAGTGTATTTGTGTTTATGTATGTGTGTGTGCAGCTGCAGTCCACCTGTATTTTAACTGATTTAAGTCCCTGTCCTCAGTATCCTGTTCTTCAATATGGCATCAGCCCTCAGCAAAATCCACCTTCACCTGCTGCAGCAGCTCAGGAGACAACAGCACCTCCAGGGTCCTCATAGGCAAGCCTCCACTGCCTGTGGGTCTTTCCATCTCCTGCAGAGGGTAGTCCACATAAAACATAGCCAAAATACTGTTATCAACCTTCAAAAGTCTGTATTGTTTTAAACCTAGTACATAATCATTTCATAAAGCCCATGCATAAAATCAGAATGTTGCATTACAATCAATTTGGCAGAAGTGTTAAGTGTATATTTGTTTAATTAAATATAGTATACAACAAACAAACAAAAGATGATAATATTGTACTCACCAAATAATTGACTCTCTATCTGCAATACTTCTGCCCTTTTCTGGCTGCATCCAAGAGTTTTTTGTTTCCAAGGAACTTCTGGTACATGCTTGTGCAGGGAAAGGTGAAGTTTACACAAACTTGGAGCTCTGCCTTTACGCTGTCCACATCCATACGGTTCCTCTCATTTCTCCATGCAGATGTCATCATTGAGAAGACTCGTTCTGTGTATGCGTTGCTGCATGGGATGGAGAAAATGTAGGCACTGACCTTCCTGAGATTCACAAGTGGTACATCTGCTTTGGAAAACAGTTTCAGATACCGCTCCACACTGTGGCAACCTTCCATTTCCGGAGAGCTGAGGGAAGCTTCCACTATGGCATATTCCTCATAAAGTCCATCCATATCAATGTCTTTCAGATTGCAGGTCTGGACAACATCACTGTATTCTTCATATGACACAGCAGTTGTGAGGCCAAGCTTTCCCACTTTGCAATGAAAGCTGTTCTCAGAGAAGTCATATCTTTCACTTATGTATTTCTTGGCTCTTTCATAGAAACCAAGGAAATCCATTTCACATTTCTTTGCCTGGTTTGGGGATAGCTGCTTGAGCTTGCTGTTCACAACGAAGCCAAAGAACCTGTCCTTCAATCTTCTCTCAAGTTTCTGTTTCAGTTCAGTCATTACCTTAAACACAGATGTTATGCTGAACGATTTGGCCTCAAGTGCTTCGATGGTGTCTGAGAGCAGTTTCAGGATGTGACTGAGGAAAAGGAAATATGTCTCAGATACTTCGGTGTTTTCCTCTCCAAAGCATTTCCACAAAATCTTGCCGCATTCCTCCTCACCTTGACTCTGAAAGTAGCTGGTCAGGGGCTTCCAGAACTTCAGCATTCTATCAATAGATGGAAGCAGGGACAACCATCTTGTCACAATGTGCCGCAGCAGATTGCATTCTTCTGCTTCCACAAACTCACAGAATTCCTTCAGTTGTGCTGTTCTGCTTGCTGACACACTAAAGTGGCTGTAAACCTTGAGTACAGCATTTTCAACATCAAAATCCTGTCTGCCTGCTGCATATCGTGTTGCATTGTGGAGAATATGGGCTAAACAGTTTGCAGGTAACACATCCTTTTGTGTCAGTTTCAGCTTCTGATAAACACTGTTGTGTTTTCCGTAGTTCACGCTGGCGTTGTCTGCTGCATAAGCAGACATGTTTTGCACATTTAGACCAGACTTCTCCAGTTTAGCAAGCAGCTGGTTTGTTATAGCCTCTGACGTTTCGTTGCTGTCACTGTAAAAATCCAACAGTACATGTTGCACGCCTTCCTCAAAGTGCAAGTATCTTAGTACAACTGGAAAACACTTGGTCGTAACTTTATTTGATGCGTCGGTTGACACAGAAAAATACAGATTGATTTCTTTGAAGTAATCTGTATGTGTTTGTACAGAGTAAGGCGATAGGACATTCTCACACAAAGCCTTAGCTTTTGTTTTTCCACAAGTCATCCCCTTAGCTGTAGATGAGTCACTGAAGATCTCTCAGTCAACTTTAATTCCACAGTCTACACTCATGTATGACTGGTGATGCTTGACTGCATGATAAACTTTACAAAGTTCTGCAGCGGATATCTTGTCATCTTCAGGCGATGACGTTGCTTCCCGAAAAAACAACCGGAGGGAGGAGGTGCCAGCGGCCCATCTGTTGTATTTATGTTTCTCCATGATAGCATGCCTTTCAATGGCCGCCTTTCCTTGTGTGCTAAAGTCCACATCACAGCGACAAAGTGTGCAATACGCATGCAAATCGTCTTTGCTACTTTTGCTGACAAACGTGTGCTCTTTTGACCATTCGGCATTAAATGAGGTCCGTCTTTTCGGCATGTTAACATTCAGTTAACGAGATGAGTGACACAACTAGCACATGGGAACAGGGGGCGGCTTGTTTACATTTTCAACCAATGAGAAATCGGAGAATTGAGTGACACCGCTTTTAACCAATCATTTTTAACCAATTTTTTTTTAACCGAAAGTCTTACACCATTGGACGATATGCAGCGTTGCGTTCAGGTGCAACTCCAAAAAGGAGGACAAATAAGCGTCAGGCTTGAGGCTGCGCCGGACGCCGGACAAGGCATTTAAATTCCGGACTGTCCGGCCTAAATCCGGACGTATGGCCACCCTAGATGACGCCCCCCACAGTGGTCATGAAAGGGGAAATTAACTATAGAGACCAAAACCATTTTTTATACCAGGCTGTAAACATGTTTATTTCTGCTCTAAACTTCCGCATTGGTCTCACTCGTCTCCCCCGGAGGTTGGGGCTTGGTTTTAACTCACAGGCCATGCTCTGTCAAAGGTCTCTGACACAGGCATGCAAGATATGAGGCACATCATAAGAAAAAATGCAAGAAGGAAAACTACACCAAGCCATTGCAAAGAGGACCACATGACAAGAACAGTTTTGTTTCAATTTAGCTGAAAAGAAGATTTCTTGGTTGGATGTGTGGTTCCTCTGTCTCAGGATGGCTATTTTACAGGGCATAAACTGTGAATGAACATGCACTTGCATGGCACCTTTCTTGTGTTTTGACCACGCAATGCACTAAAATAATAATAATAATAATAATAATAATAATAATAATAATAATAATATATAATTTATTTGATATAGCACCTTTCACAGAAATTAAATGTGCTTCACAAAATACAATCAAGAAATCAAACAATAAAACATGCAATCAATTAAACAAAGGGAATATAACAAATAAAATAAGGCTATAAAAAAAGAAAGTGAAACATAGAGCAAATACAGGTTACTGGGGCCCCAAAACAAAAACATACCAGAGAACAAGCACTGGACCATTGAGGGTGGGACATAGTCTTCAGTTAAACATTTCTAAAGAGGCCTAATGGAGGAGAGCTCCATAGTGTTGGAGCCACCACTTAAAGCGACACTTACCTTTCTGGAAATTCTCATATGGTTCTAAGAAAACTCTGACCAATCATTGCATTCTGTCGGAGTTTTCTCCTGTCCTGTCTGTCTTCCCCACGTGGAGGCCTCTGACTGACGTAACCGCTCGTGTAATATCCCAACCCCCACCCCTGAGTCTGTGAGACAACAAACAGGGTAGTAACAGGGACGCTTGTGGATATAAACTAGTAACAGGGATGCTTGTGGATATAAACTAGTAACAGGGATGCTTGTGGATATAAAAAAGGGACGAGATGGTCACAGAGTTTCTGCTTGACAAGTATTTTTAGTTTGCCTCTAAGTTTGAATGAACATGGCAGCGCGACCAATGCTTGTGGCAGCCTCCATGTGCACTGGCGAAGGAAACACGGTGCATCAAGAAGTAAATTCTTCAGTGCAATACAGTTGCAAGTTTCTAACAGACATTAGAAAACGCTGCAGAGATCTAACGCTACAACCAAGAGAGCTCAGGATGTGTAGCAAGCTTGGCCTGCTACGTCGAACTAGCCCTGAGATGACCGTGGTTTCACCTGAGGCTGTCCTGACAGGGAGACGCCGGCAGCGCTGTGACAGGATGCGGGAGCGGAGGGAGATGTTCCCAGCAGCTTTCTGGCGAACATCCACTCGCTGGACACGAAAATAGATTACACTGTGGAGATCCACTCACTGAGGAGTGAGGGACTGCTGCGTCTTTGTGTTCACTGAGACATGGATGAATGGTAACATATCAGACTCGGTGTTGAGCTAACGGGGCTAACACTTCATAGAGCCGACAGGGCGGCTGCATCATCTGGTAAGCTCCGGCAATATACACAAACAATCCATGGTGCTGTGATGCGAAGAGGATCTTCCAGTTCTGCTCTCAGGATGTGGAGTTTTTGACTGTGAAATGTCGGCCCTTTTCATCTTACAATTGCACTATATGTTCTTTCTTATATGTTGCACAAATTGTTTTTAAATGTTATGTTTCTTTTTGCTTGGGTAATGCAAAATGTCATTTAGTTTTTGTGTTGCGCATAAAAATGACAAATAAAGAAGTTCAGTTAAGTTTATAACGTTATATATGACAACACAGCATCCAGTTGCTAATGGCTAACGTAACTGTAGTGTAGCCTCTAAAACATAACGTTATCTTCCTTGTGCGTTTCCACTTACTAGTAACGTTAACGCTACTATCTAACGTTAGCACTGTAACCTTATTCTAAAACTCATCAGTCATCACTGACTACGGTTGAGTTTTAAAACTCTGGGGTTGCGTTTGACTGTCTTGGTTGTGACGTTACCCTCACTCTCCTCTTCCGTGTATCTAACGTTACCTTGCCAACGCCTATGTGTATCATAGACATAATGAGCACGTAATGGAGGAGGGGGGAGTAGGTCTTTGGAGGGAGGTGGAGTTGTGGATGTTCAATTTTTTTCTAAGTGCTGTGTGAAATGCAACAAAGGTAAGAGTTCCTTTAAAAGGCACAATCACCTTTTGTTTTCAGTCTGGAGCAAGCAACAGCCAGTAGGTCCTGTTTTGAAGACCTAAGGGCTGTACTGACAATATATGGATGGGAGAGATCACTGATGTATTCAGGTGCCTGACCATGGAGGGCTTTATACATAAGAACAAGTATCTTGAAGTAAATCCAAGTGTAACACTAAAATGGGAGTAATGTGGGTTGACCTGCTGGACCCGGTTAACACCCTAGCAGTAGCGCTCTGGATTATTTGAAGATGATTCAGAGAAGATTGTTTTCGACAAATAAAAAGAGAATTAGGGTAGTCCAGTTGGGAGGACACAAAAGCATGGATAATCATCTCCAGCTCAGGTCGAGATACCACACACCTGAACTTTGCAATGTGCATGTAAGAAGTATGTATAAAGCAAATAATATAAGACCTGGTACACCACACGAAAGAGCAGCAGTGTCAGACCTGAAAGGACCGAGAGACAGACACTGATTGAACAACATCATTACTACACAGTTATGCCTTTGAATGGTCACAATAAAAGGCCACTCTAAAATATGAGGTTTGATCTTGCAAAAATACATGTATAGGATTTCACATAACTAGTGTTACAGAAATGTATTTTTTGGCCACAGATACCCCAAATCAGTCAGCATCTGGTGTGATCACCATTTACCTCATGCAGTGCAACACATCTCCTTCACACATAGTTCAGGTTGTTGATTGTGGCCTGTGGAATGCTGGCCCACTTCTCTTCAATGGCTGTGTAAAGTTGCTGGATATTGACAGGAATTCTAACACCCTGTCGCACAAGCCAACCCAGAGTATCCCAAACATACTCAGTGGGTTACATATCTGGTAAGTATGAGGCCATGCAAGAACTGGGACATTTTCAGCTTCCAGGAATTGTGTTCAGATCTTTACACCACGGGGCCATACATTATTGTGCTGCAACTTGAGGTATTGGTGGCAGATAAATGGCATGACAGTGGGCCTCAGGATCTCGTCATGGTATCTCCGTGTATTCAAACTGCCATCAATGAAATGCACCTGTGTTCATTGTTGGTAGCTTATACCATCCTACACCATAACCCCACTGCCACCATGGGGCACTCTGTTAACAATGCTGGCATTAGAAAACCACTCATCCATAAGCCACAAGCCATCTGTCCTCTGGTCAATACAGTGTAAACAGAAATTTGTCCGTGAAGAGAAACGTCACCAAGGACACCATCAAATGTGTGCAGATGCCCACTCAAGTCGGTTAAGACAATTATCCGGAGGTCCTGAGCCAGTTTGGTTACACATTGTCAGTGGTTGTGTGACTGTTTGGATACACTGCCAAATCCACAGAAATCACATTAGATATGGCTTGTGGTAGTGAAAGAAACATCCAATTCATTCGGGCCCCCAACTGGGGGCATTTATAGTCCCCCAATTAGGGGACTTTGAGAGCGACTTTGCAAGCACAGTGTGAAACAATGCACTGATCATTTTACATGCCCCAAACACAGCTCAAACAACAACTAAATAAAAAACAACAAATCCAACTCCATAATGCACCGATATCCCGTCCCACTCGGTATATTTCGGGCTCTAACTCTACCACATGTTATGCAAAACACACACCGTTCATCTCAAATGAAAGCTGAGACTCCACTGTTTCTACACCAAAGCGCTCTACCCCAAAGCATCACAGAGATAGAGGCCAAAGAACAACATCAGAAATCTTTTCGCCAAAATATATTTGTAATATCTCTCTTACCTTGTTGTTTTTGCCGTGAAAAGCTCATTCTGCCATTAAATCACGCTTCATTCCCATTTACCGACTTGCTGTCCATCATTCAAATGAATCCGGGCGGAAAAAGTTGACGGCCAGAGGTTCCAGGGGAAGCATAACAATGACCACTCACAGCAGCCAACATCGCCCCACAACACGTTCTGCTGACTCTGATTGGCTTACAGTGCTGTAAATCTCGTTTCGGTGGGTATAGCATCATTCTATTGGCTCTAACGAATCAAACAAAGTGTCAATCACTCAAATGGCCAAGTCGTCACGGAAATACGGGCCTCCAAAGCTCATAATAGAAACTCAGTTTCAAATGTAGTAAGTGTGTATTGGTCAGTTTGGAGTGGGAAAAACAGGAAAAAAACGAAACGGACAGTTGTATGTGTATATCCTAAACATCATTAGGGATTTACAGAAACAAAAAATGAAAGATGTAGGATTGTACATGACAAAAATCACATACAAACATGATGCAATTTTGGAGAGCTTGGCTGAATTTTCTGTACTAAAACCTCTCTAATATTGTTTTGCTTCACTTTATCAGAATCAACCTTTGCAGAGTTAATTTTCACATATTGTACTATGATTTGATAGAGGTCTAGAGCTGCAATTTTCGAGCAGAGGCCTATAAAATAGGCTTAGCTTTGAAAAGGTTAAAATCAGTGACATCTATGGCATTTGTGTTGTGTGATCAACTGCACATTTGAGTGTGACCTTTTATTGTGACCATCCCAAGAACACCTCTGTAGTAGTCATACTGTTCAATCAGCATCTTGACATGCCACACCTGTCAGATGGATAGGTTAACTTGGAAAAAAATTGTAACCATGACATGCGCACGGTCGCAGTGGCCTGTGGGAGAGTCGTAGTGAATGACTTTTCTGTGAGTGTTGACCATGCCAGAAGTCTAGCCTACAGCAAATCTACACTGCTAAACATCAGGGCCAAGTATGCTGGAAAG